CTGGGCCACCCCAAAGAGAGAGATGAATGGTGATGGATGAACAGTTCGTCCAAATAGTCCTGAAAAGGTATCAAAGATGCCTTGCCAGTATTTATGTAGCTTTGAGCAGGACCAGAATGTGTGCAGAAGTGTGGCAGGAGATTGTTTACAACGATCACACGTTGGATCCAAGTCAGTTTTGAATTTGCACAATCTGTCCTTAGACCAGTGTAGAAGATGTACTACCTTGAATTGAACTATAACATGTTTCACACATATTGAGGACGAATATATATTTTGAATAATTTTTGCCAAACTGTGTCTGATATGGATTCCTCCAAGTCCATCTCCCACTTGCCCRTCAAAGAATCTAAATTGGAGTCAGAAAATGAGCTGAGCAGAGAATAAACTCTGCTCATAGAGCGTTTTGTTACAGACTTACACATCAGAATCTCATCTATAAGAGAAGTTGGGGGGCGTAGAGGAAAACATCCAGAATTTGACATTACAAAATGTCTCAGTTGTGAATACCTGAAGAACTGTGACTTATGGATGTCAAATGTCTATGCTAACCGTTCAAATGAGGCGAACTAATTGTCTATATGAAGATCATTTAGGGAAGTTATTCCCTTTAAACTCCAAGTATTGAAAATAGAGACCATTAGTGAAGGAGCAAACATATGGTTATTTGTTACTGGAGCAGACAATAATGATTTTGTATTTTTAAACAACCTCCTGCACTGATTCCAGATTTTTATTGTGTGAGTTACAACCAGATTAGAAGTATAAGTTGAGATAGGTTGATTAAATGGTAACCGGGAACAAAGTAAAGCAGAGAGAGAGAGAGAGCCGTAACTGATTTCCTCTCTAGATTTACCAAGTAGGGACAGGGTTGTCGTCTCTCAACCAGTACAGTAAGGCTCTAATGTTGGCCGCCCAGTAGTAATATAAAAAGTTGGGGAGTGACAAGCCACCAAGACCATGGCGTAACTTTAACACCTTCCTGGCTATCCGTGGATGTTTTTATTCCAAATAAAGATGACAGTTCACTATTTAGATTTGTAAAGAAAGTCCTGGTGAGGAACACTGGCACGCTCTGAAATAGATAAAGTAATTTGGGCAATATTGTCATTTTGATAACGTTGATTCTACCCCCCAGGGATAGAGGCATGGATGCCCATGTAGCAATGTCCTTCTTAAGGTTCACCAGGAGGGGCAGAAAGTTTGCTGTATAAAGATCTTTGTGACTGTGAGTAATCCAAATACCAAGGTATTTAAATTTGGCGGAGCTAATTTTGAAAGGAACTGGACCCATGTGCTGCTCTTCTATTGGAGTCACAGGTATCAGTTCACTTTTTTGAAGGTTAACCTTATACCCAGATATGTTTCTGAACTTTTAAAGTAAAAGAAGTAACTCAGGAATACTAGACAAGGGATCTGAGATATAAAGAAAGGTATTGTCAGCATATAAGGAAACTTTATGTTCATTGCCAAACCGATTAATACCTTTAATCTTAGGGTTGTTCCGTAAAACCACTGCGAGTGGTTCAATCGCTATTGAAAATAAGAGTGGCGAGAGTGGGCACCCCTGTCTCGTACCACATTCCAATTCAAAATAGCTGGATAGATTACTGTTAGTGCGTATTACTGCCATTGGCAAGGTATATATCAGCTTCACCCATGAAACAAATTTAGGGCCGAAGTTAAATATCTCCAAGGTCTTAAAAAGATAGTTCCACTCCACCCAGTCAAACGCTTTCTCGGCATCCAGCAAGATTAAAATTTCATTGCAATTGTGACCAGGTGGAGCAGAAGTATACAGCACATTAAATAACCGCCTGATATTAAAGAAGGATTGACGATTTTTAATAAAACCGGTCTGGTCAGGTGCAACAATTGTGGGGATAATCTGTTCGACTCGTTTTGCCAACATCTTTGTAAGAATTTTTACATCAGTATTTAAGAGCGATATTGGGCGATAAGAACTGCAGCTAAAAGGGGTCTTTACACCTCTTTAAAAGCAAGGAAAGTATTGCCTGACGCATAGACAGTGGCAATAATTGTGTAGCTAAGGATTCCTCAAAAACTGATAACAAGAGGGGAGAAAGTAGATCCGAAAATTTCTTAAAGAATTCTGCTGGGAAACCATCTGGTCCTGGAGATTTTCCATTTTGCATGTTTTTAATGGCAGAGTTTATCTCAGCTGAAAAGAAATCTCTTTCCAACTTATTAGATAGGTCAGAACTTAGTGAAGGGATTTTAATATCTTTAAAAAAATCATCCAATTCAGTAGGGTTAGGTGAGGCTTCGGAGGTATACAGAGATTGGTAAAATTTGCTGAAACACAGATTAATTCCTGCATTCTCACACATTTTACACCATGCTTATCATTTATTGCTGAGATATCCTGTTTAGCTGAGCGCTGCCATAGCTGCTGTGCAAGAAGGCGTCCAGCCCTCTCACCATGCTCATAGTAGCCATACCTAGATTTGGAAATTAAATATTCGGCCTGTTGGGTAGATAAGATGTTAATCTCTGTTTAGAGTAATGTACGTTTCTTATGTGAGTCTTGTGTAAAAGCATGGCAGCATTCCCTGTCTAATCGTAAAATCTGATCTGTTAGCGATTTTAGTCGTTCGATGTTTTTCTTCTTTTTATTTGCACAGTAAGAGATTATTTGACCTCTCAGATAAGCCTTTAATGACTCCCAAACAGTGCTGAGTGGCATCCCAGGAGTCCGATTAACATCAATAAAAAACTTAATTTCAGAAGGAAGCATATAAACTAAGTCTTCGTCAGACAAAAGCATCGGATTAAGTCGCCAAGGACGATAGACCGATTGCGTAACAGGAACGTTCAGTTTCATTATGAGCGGACTATGATCAGAAATGACTATCGCTCCATAATCACATTCATCACTAAAGGTAAAATCCGTTGATCGAGGAGAAAGTAGTCAATCCGTGAATAGTTCTTATGAACAGGGGGAAAAAACGAACATCGTCTCAGGGTCGGATTGTGAAAACGCCACATGTCAACCACTCCATAGGTGTTAAGAAAATAATTAACTGACTGGGCCGATATAGAAAGAGCGATCCTCCCCACTGTACTACGATCGAGGGGCGACAGCACACAGTTCACATCTCCCCCAATTATGAGATTATTTGACGAAATGTTAGGTAAATTTGAAAAAAGCGTATTAAAAATGTTTGATCATGCCAATTTGGAGCATATACCGAGACTAAAATGACAGGAAGTGCATATAGTTTTCCCACCACAATAACATAACGTCCCGCAGCGTCCGTTTTAACACTGGATGCCATAAATTGCACCTGTTTACTAACTAAGATAGCCACCCCTCTCGATTTAGATTGGAAATTAGACTGAAACACCTGACCAGACCAYCGCCTGCTTAGATTTGCACTGTCTGTCTTACGCAAATGGGTCTCCAGAAAAAGAGTAATATTAGCATTAAGTTGTCTTAAATGTGTTATAACTTTCCTAAATTTCACTGGACCATTGAGGGATTTCACATTCCAACTCACACAGTTAACTGGGTAACTGTTGATAAACCTGGTAATATTAGAACTGCTCATGTATGGCCAATTTGACTGTAGTACAACAGACACAAACGATCACAAAAAATAACCTGAAAAAGACATTCTCAAAACAAATAGATCCGGTATAGTCCCACCCCTTTCTCCTAAAAAAACGTAGAACCCAACACACAAAATCCACACATTTGTTCTTATACTGGGGGGCTTAACTCCCTGCTTAGACTCCCCCCATAACTAAATAATAATAACCAAAAAAATAAAAAAGGGGTTCCCTTACTTTAAAATATTATTACTGTTTATGCTCCTTCTAGCACTGATAAATAAAACACTAAGCAAAATCCTAACAGGCCCCCTGTGAAACTCTTGGACATAGAACAAAAAGAGGAATGTTGTCCCTGAAAATAAAGTCTAAAATTAAATCAAGATATAACTCGGGACATAAAGTTAGAAGTTTCATTACAACCTGACAGTCATAATGGATTGATGAGGGCTGGACCTGCGGTCAACGTCGGTCCTCGCTGTCCGTCGCTGAGATGATCCTCTTTTTAACGTAGTCCATTGCTTTATTGGCATCCAGGAACTCCTTGCTTTCCTCTCCATGAGAGATGCGGAGCCGTGCAGGAAAAAGCAGGCCATAACGCACATCACGTCGGTTACGAAGAAGAGCCTCCTCACCTCCGTAAACGCCGCTCGAGCCCTGGCCACAGCCACCGTGTAGTCAGATGTGATGATGATCGGTGAATCTTTAAACGAAGAGGACCATGACTCCGAGC